ATACCTGCTTCGTACATGTTCAGTTCATTAATTAGCGTCTGCCTTCAAGTCACGTACATGTGCTCCAATTGATGGACGAATCATCAACCTAATGAGTGTGTTTTATAGGCAGCTTGACTCCTGCCTATAAGTTTGTACCTGTGATTTATATTTCGGTAGCAAGTTCTTCGTGATATCTAAAATGCCAGTTTACTAGTTTAATCTTAGCTATATTACGTAGTTGGTAGGCCAGACAGGAAGTCACGAACGACGAGGTTTTTTCTTTATCGCTCATACCTAAGTCCCCATAAAATACAAATGTCCTTGGTCCCAATATCTTGCGTCCCTTCCTTTCTCTCCCCCACCCCCGCATCCTCCACTAGAATGTTTCTTCGCAATCTCCCAGTTTATCTTTCCCGTCATACCCTTGAACCTCCTACACTTTTTCCACTATTCCCAATGATGATTAAATCCCTATTTATGCAATTTATAGAAATCCCAAGCATAACTCCGACACCTCTCCATATGCAACCATGAATACTACACCTTCCTTGTGACCTTCTCAAATTTTTACCCTCATCGCACAGACAACCTAAAAACGTTCATACCCCATACTTCGACACCTTTCGCACAACCTCTAACCTACATTCCATCCTTTTCCACTGCTCTCAGAACAATCTGTCCCCCTCTTCTCCGACAGCATTCACTTAAGAGTATCCATTTGTTTTTCTGGCAAGTTACTTCCCTAAATACCATTAATCCGCCTCTCAGAAACTTCTTTTTGAAGAATCATTCCAAAAATTCGTAGGACATGATGCATTACACCAAGATATACTAATATTTTTCCCATTTGATTTATCTACTCAAACGGGATACCACAGCTTCCCTCATCCACACCTCCCTAATCCCGGCGCTATTCCTAGTTCTATACACACATTTGGCATAAGTGTTTAGAATTTGCCCAAAATTATTAATAAAAAATTAACTTCGTCGCTCAGATTCTGTGCCGTTTTTAATAGCTTTTCGAAATCTGAATACTCGACAAAATCTTAAAGTGGATTTAAGAACTTCGCTGGTATTGCGGTTATGTGAGGGAGTCCGAGGTTTTCATCCTCCTCCGCTCTTTTTTACGAAAGGAAATTGGATAGATGATCTTTGTTAAATTTCTTTAATCAGCTTCTATCGGTTAGATAACAACAGGATTCATATTTACCCTGCGTAACCCTAAGTCGTTATTTTATTCATTGGAAATAACCGTTTAGAAAACGTTGATATCTTGGAATATAAACTCATCACCGTCTGTTTCCCACGGACATTTCTTTTTTTAATGTAATAATACAAACTTAAATGTAATAATACTGTTTAATTATAGGCCTACATCATGCGATTTTATAAAGGTATTTAACATGTTATGTGGGATTTTTTGCTTTACATACTTAGTCGTTATATATCAGTGTAAAAGTAGTACATTCATTACTATTATTTGCGTTTTCTCAATTACTTGCGGCATCTCCTAAAAAAAAAAAATAAAAAAAGAAAATATAATCTGTTCAATCTTATGCTTTGCGCAAATTACTATACCGTATTATCATTGTGTGGCAGTACTATCTAGCTATTTTGCAAATTAATCTTCGCCTGGCCGCCTCGCAGCCTGGATATAGGTGATCCATGCTTAGAGATATGAGTCTACAATGTAATATGAATCAGAAAATTTGAGACTTAGAGTTATATATATTACCGAATGGGAAGGCAAGGAAACAGGCGATGCGAGAATTATGACCGAAAGAAACCATCATCTGGACCCGACTCAGTGAAAGTCATCCTTAAAAACAAATTAACTCGATCTCGTTGTTCATTTTATTATTCGCAGATACCGATGGAACTCACACTGCCCATAATATTAGCATCATTGATCCCTCGTAACCCTATGATATTTTACTACATATGATAGTATTAACAGGTCGAACAAAGAGTTCGAATCATTATCTACCTCTCATTTATCAGTGTGAAACAATATCTATCTTATTGA